CCGCCGCCTGGACGACACCGGCACCGTTCCCCAACGCCGCAGGCGACGTGGCGCAGAGCCTCGGCCTCAACGTGGATGCAGGTAAGAGCTTCTCTCGGACCTCCTTTGATACAACCTCGGCCCCCTGCCTACCGCTCGCTTAAGTCCCCGCTAAGTGAGAAGGAAATAGCCCTTGTGGAAGGGGAACCGTGGTGCTGCTCTGGGTAAATAGAGCAGGGGAGAGACTCACAGGAGACACCGGAGCTCGGCCTGTGGTGCCCCTCTTGGGAGACGCTTGGGAGGACGAACGAGGCAACACCAGTTCCCCCAGCGCCCTTGGGTTGCTACAAACGTGTGCTGAAGAAGCTGGTCTCTTGCCCGGGCCCTAGCCCTGCCCTTGCATTGAGGAGTGGGACGGGGAGCAGGACAGAGCCACCCCAAGGGTTTGCTCCCTCCATGGGCTCACCTATGGGTGCGAGTGCTGACACCAGGGTAGGGCTGGGTTATTTTTTCCTGCCCCTTTTTGAAAGGAAAGCACAATCACACGCTGGTGCTGGAACCTCGTGCCTGCTCAGGTGCCTGGACACAAGCTGGGGTCACGGTGGGGAGGGTCGGGAAGGTGACAGGGGTGCACGCAGCAGGGGCAGTTAGTTGCCCAGGCAGAAAGCCGGCGCTCGGAGGCATTGCTCCATGCTGCACTGCTCTATCCGCACAGGGCTCCTCACGGAGGCCCCGCTCTTGGCAAAAAGGGCCATGCGTCCATCCCTCCTTTAGCTTGGGCTCTTCTCTGAGCTGCTCTCTTCCAGTGCCGAGGAGTCCCTGGCCTCTTGCAGCAGTAACAAAGCTTGTCTTTCTCTGTCCTAAATGCCTATACCTATTTTTCTTCTTCCTTTTTTTTTTTTTTTTTCTTTTCTCTCCGTTCTCAGGTTTACAGCCTCAGGATAAAAGCAAGGATCTGTACTGGTTTTAGAGCTGTCCTTCACTCCTCTTCCCCCGGCTCTCCCCTGTAGATCTCTGCCTGTTAGACATGGTGACATTCAGAGCTGAAATCGGGTCAGTTTGTAACAGCTTCTGGTCTTGGTTTGCAGCTCGACGTTACTCCTTCTGTGGTGGATCCCTTCTGAGCTGATCTGCTGCCTCCTAGACCCCCCCTTGCCCTTTTCCAAGCCCGCTGTGGCCCTGCAACTTGGGGAAAGACAACGGGACTTAAACCGACCTGGCAATGCAAGGATGCTACTTTAGACTCATTTTGGAGAGGGAAATCCTTCTGTTGAAAGAGGAGAGCCAAAGACTTTGAACTTTTATTTAAACAAACTCTGCACCCAGGACTGCAATCAGACTACTTTAAAAGAGTCAAATGACATTGCGAATGGTGATGCAAAACCACTGGTCTTCTTACAGGGGACAGAGGAAATCTGTTTTTTTAGTGGTGTGAATATTTTTTTATGGCAGTGAAAATTATTTCTTGAAAGCAACATGGGAAAACTATTTAGTAATTCTGAACTGGATTTTTACTTTACGTTATAAAAGTAAAAGGAGAAGAGGTTGGGAAAACATGAACGTTTTTGGATTATCAAAAAACTGGTCAGATTTTTCAGCTTTGTGGTTATGAGTGGCAAGTGTCTAGCTTGGGCCACCTGCCTTGGGCTTACAGAAATGCAGCTGTTCCCGGGACAACTGTTCAGACTTCAGAAATATGAAAACCAAGGTGGCACTTCTCAGAGTTTGGCACAACATTTGCATTGGATATATATCTTTTTTTTTTTTTATACAAGAAACATTTTATTGTGAAAGAAAAATCCCATTAAAGAAGGGGGAGGGGAGAGAAATGTGAAGAAAATGCTCCACTCCAACCCGACGGCCTTTAAAGGGGGAACACCAGAAAGAAAGGCACATAAGGGACTATAGGTCTGGATTGCCTCTAATATTGCTCTTTGTCTATGTGTTGCTGTCATTTTGTCACTTTAATTTTTTTTTCTTTTTTTGAAGACAGAAGTAAGATATCTATTTAAATGTAGGAAAGCTACATTAAAAGTATCTTTTTCTTTCACCCTATGTTCTTTTATGAGAAATTTTAACTAAACAAGAGGAATGAGGCAAGCTAGAAACTCCAGCTAGAAACCTGTGGTGTGGATGAAGTGAGTTATTTTATTACTTTGCATTGAACAGAAATCCTAACTGCAAAAAAAACCTCCAATAACCAAACATTACCTCAAGGAGAATAAAATATAGCAATAAATGCAAAAGAAGAAAAAAATGCAGGAGTATAGCAATACTCTATTTTAGTGCATGTTCTATCTGTAAGATGAGTTAATGCAGGGATGACACTGGGAGAAGCAGCCACCCTGCAGTAAGAGATTTAGTAGAAAATACACTTGTGTACTGTTAACTTGCCTCTCCTGGGTGTTTGTGCTAACTACAGCACATGGGAAAGATGGGAAAGAATAGGAATCTTAATAGTATGAGTGAAATAAAGCAGGATGAGTAAATATTACAGGAGCTGGCAAGGAGCTGCTCTGGAATACAGCATATGCAGAGCATCCCCAGCCAGAACCACTACTGCAAATGGCAGCAGGTGACTTGCTGTGCCTCTTTCAGCCAAACATCCCCAGCAGAATTTCTTCCTTAGTCTTCAATTAGACCCCAACAAGCTGCAGAAGGCAGGTGAAGGGCTTCAGGATTTATAGTACCAGTTAAACCAAAAATGTTCAGTAGCTCCCATTAAGAAGGCAGCAGCATTTTGCAGAGGAAAAGTAACGAAATACAGCACCTAACTTTATTGTTGCAGAGGCTTCGGGATGACAGTATCATTTTGTTAACACCTGCTTGCTGGTTTTTAGACTTTTTTAAAGTTAAAAAAAAATCTGTCTCTAATGTTAGCTGTCCTCCATTGGAACAGTTTGCTTTTTTTTTTTTTCCTTTCTTTTTTTGCCCTTCTCCTTTGCAATTCCTGAGGAGGAGGACTGTCCAACACAGCCAAAATATGTTTGCATACATTCTTGTAAACAAAAACCCGTCATTTACTTCGTTGGCATTAACAATTCTTTTCAACTGTGACCATTTTGAGCACGAGAATTTATGAAATCTATACATGACTACTGGTATCAACACTTGTTCTCCAAGTTCTTATTTATTGCTGTATCGTAAAAGCAGGCAAACCTTGAAGTCAAGATCGTGGCTTAGGGTATCAGACACTTCAGCAACCACTTTTAAAAAGTGCTCCTGCCCTGTCGGAATTGCAATCTGAAAAATTACATGCCCTGTTCTGGCTAAGCCTGCAGAGATTTTCTGCATGTAGGTTGTTCCCCCCATGGGCAATCGCCCCCCAGCACCAGGTTAGCTGCTTAATCATGAGTTTTTGCAGTGAACAGAAAAGGAGCAGTCCCTTTATATATATGTGTGTATATATATACTATAAATATATACACATGTGTATATGTCCTTTATGCCTCATGCTTGTCATTCAAGAGAAGAGCAGGACCATAAATGCCCGATCCCGCAGCTCCGCGCGGGGCCTCCCTGCGAAGGCGGCACCCGGATGAGCCCGCGGTGCTTGTGCTGGCGGAGCCTGCAGACAAACTAGCCCGGCGGCAAGAAGCCCGCGCGTCTCCTGACCTGTTCGCAGAGCCTGGGGCGGGAGGCAGAGCAAGGGGCTTCGCGGCAGCGCTGCGGCAGCGGGCTCAGGGAGAGCATCTGCCGGGGCTGAGCGCGAGCAACTTTTAAGGGTTTGTAAAGTGAGCTCTGGCTAGATTCACTGCAGACGTTTCTTTCCCATGTGGAAAATAACTGAAGCTTAGCAAAGCACAGGGAAGGCACAAGGTAGACACAGTTGGCTAATGTTAGCTAGCTTTAAGATATTGTTTCCTACTTCCTGCCTGCTTTTCCAGTGTTTTTTTTTCCACGCGAGCCCCTGGAGGAGGAGGCAGGGAGGAGAGGCAAGGGCTGAATAATCCTCTGCGCCTCCCGCGGATCGTGTGCCGCCCATCTCCGGAGAAATGTATCTATCATCTGCCCTGTCTCCTCCTTGGGTCAGGAGGGACTGCCATCCCTTCTCACTTTCCTCTTTGAAGTCCTATTTAAGTTCATGACAAACTCTAGCGAGGGCTTAAAGGTTGGTCCCTTCCTAGAAGGGATGAAAATGCTGCGGGTGGTTTTGGGTGCATCAGGGCTGTCTGAGTGACAGTTTTCATGAACCTTTTTCTGGGCAGGAGTTGTAATTAACATGCCCTTTTGATGGCAGGAAGGCGAGTCAGCTCCTCCAGGGCATTGCTGTGTCCTGGCCGGCTTCCCTGGCCTGCCACCCAGAGGAGCAGTTGCAGCAGGAGAAGGAGATGGCCCCTGTGGTGTGATTATTTGCAGGACTGAGGCATTTATTTGGTAGGTTAGGTGATTTTTCATAGGGAAGTAGGAGAAATGGGGGGCAGTGAAAGAAAAGGGGAAAAAAAGGAAAAAAGAAACAGGGAGAAAAAGGAAAAAAAAGAAAAAGGGGGAAAAAGGAAAAGGGGGAAAAGGAAACAGGAAAAAAGGAACAAAAGGGGAAAAGAAAAAAGAAAAGAAAGAACAAAAGAGGAAAAGGAAAAAGAAAAAAGAAGAAAAGAGGAAGAAAAAAGAAGTGAAAACCTGCATGCATTGCTTATTTCAGACAGCCCTTAAGCTGTCCTGCACCACCTGGCCCAGGTGTGCTGGGCAGCTCCCTCCCCATTCCCCATGGACTCGACCTCTCTCCTGCTCCTGTCTTCCTCACCCCTTTCCCCCTCTCCCTGAGTTCAGTTTCCAACTTACCTCCACACCTCACTCCCCTCTCCTTCCTCCATCTGCCCTCTCTGTACCTGCTCCAGTGGCCTCGTGCTTCAGCAATAGGAAGCCAAGGGATGGAGCTAGGATGGACACAGACTTTCCTGTCAGTGCTTCCCGCACATATATGGAGCATCAGTGTTTGTGCAAGCAGCAGAACCAGGCGAGCACAGACCCTTTCCAGAGGAACCAGGACGCTGACTTCCAATCCCACACCACATCCCTGCAGCAGGGACCAAGTCCTACAACCTAATGCAGTGGAACAACTATTTTTTTTCCACCAGTGGAGTCCTAAAAAGAGCCCACAACAGCGCCAGCAGCACACAGACACAAATGATTATTCTCTCTTGACAGACCTACACAGCTCCCTCCGTGTATTTAACTGCAGCCGCACTGAGCTGGATCAGGAAAGGGACACTTGATAGCTGCTGTTTCCGTGGTTGAAATATTTGTGAAGTTAGCGCATAATCTGAAAGCAGAAGCTAATAAATTATAGGGTGCTAATTGGGGCCGGAGTGGAGCCGTCAATCATATTATCCTAAACACACAGAGACCCTCATAACCTAAAAAGGCAAGAGAGGCTCCAGGAACAGCTCCCAGTTGTCACTAGACATGACCTCCAGTGAGAGCACAGAGTCAAGGCAGAGAGTTTATTCTGCTAAGAAAACGCAAATCCCACGCTGAAGAAGGCACTTGGGTGCATTTTTGTTAACCCTCCTCGGGAGCATATTTCCTAGGGCACCTTACAGTCTTGCTTTGCCACTTACCAATTTTGCCATTCATGCAATTAGTAAAAATGGGCAAACCATAGGAATTTGTAATGCTTATATTTGCATAGCCTTTAGAGTAAGTCGCACATTTTTAGTCACAGCTCAACACCATTGCAGATAACCCCATTTGCTAAAAGCCATATTATTGCTCACATTTTTTGTTTGTCTGTTTCTTATGCCTAGAAACATATGCATTTCTTAAAGACTTCAGGAGCCTATGAATAGAGTTAGAGCACAGTTGTGCAAATACGGTACCAATAAGCCAGTCTCAGCTCCACTCACTTGATTGCCACGCTTTCCAGTGTTGTTTTCATCAAGTTCCTCATATTTTACTCGTATGCTTTAAAACTGAATCAAAGAATGACAAAGAGATTTTTGGTGACATTTTGCCCTGAGAATTAATTTCTATCTTGAAGCAACAAGCAGGCATTTCAGAAAGTTTCCTGAGGGAAAAAATGTTGTAAGAATTAGAATCAACCCAAAAGTGAGGAGTGGGCATCCTTGATTTTGGTGTGGGCATGACCAGTGTATGCATGCCTGGTAACTGGAACAAGATAAAGCCAAACCCTTTTCCTCCAACCTTCAGCTGGTTGCAAGAACAAAACACAACTAAGTGTGCAGGTATTGCAGGTATTTCTAAATGTGTCATTTCCCCCTCATTTTTGACACCTTTGTTAATTATTTCATGTCAAAACTGAATGCTGGCAGAGAGCAGAACCACTAGTCCCTTCTCAGCTTGCTACCATGAAGACAAATGTCAGCGTCTAACCAGGTGACGCTGCCACTAAACTGAGAGCCACCTCTGGGTAGAGTAGGCAAGAGGACGTGTTTGACATCTGACTGTGGTTTCTAATGGCTCTCCATTCCCTGACCTCTCTGTGCAAAACAGGAGAGCAGAGTTGTTTGTCTAAGCTCATCATACTGTTGCAGTGTAAAGCCTTACAGAATGGCAGTGTGAAAAGGACAGGAAAATAATCTGAGTTTGCCTGTCCTCAAACAGGATTCAAGTAGCCTAGCAAAACATCGTTTTTAAAAATAATCATGTTGTTATTATTTTCCAGCAGCAAGTGTGTAGGAAAGTCAGTCAAGGATTAAACCTGTGTGTGACATACATTGCCTGCTCCTGCCTTCTTTCTGGAATTAGCCCCCGGTCACCTGCACAACCTAATCTTCTC